CATGGCCACACCTCTAGACAGCTGCTATATAAGCCAAGACAGCAAAAGTTTATCACCATGCAAAAAAGAATTTCTATTCAAATGTACTACATAGTAAGGAAACTAAAGACCTGGTAGGAATGGGTCTGTGGGGGATATATCTATATTCATAGGCTGTGCTATGAGCTTAATGCTTCTTCCCTGTTTACCTTTACCTTAATATATTAGCTGCTGTGATGCTTTGCCAGACTTAGAAAGAGTATTGCTACATTTGTCTTAATATAAAAAAAGCTTTTCAAGTTGCCTGAAATTTGATGGAAATTAGTGTAGCAAGTTATTTTTTTAATGGGGTGCAAAATCTGGTTTTGAACTTTAGATATTCTTCCTTGTCTTTTCAACTGTTTGGATTATGAGGGTCAAAAAGCATCTCATTTACAGAAAGAGAGAAAGACTTGGAAGATCTGAATACTTGCTCCAGACAACAGTGTCAACAAGTTGCAGAAAACTACCATGGCCCTGTTCTGTTAAATATAGTTGCAAAGCTTCTTGCCCCATTGGTTTGCCATCAAGGCAATACATGGACCTGCGTTTGGATACTGCAGTGCATTCAACATCTGGAAGTATTTGAACCTTTTCTGTCCCTGACCAAAGTCAAAACATGAACACAGCTTCCAAAGAGAGCTATCATGTGCAGAATGCTGTTTATAAGTGAAGGCTCACTGGTTCAGTGAGTAGGATGCCTAGCTCAAATTAGATATCCATGGGACCACACATAGGAATGATCAGACTTGTTGACAGCTGTTGGAAAGACCACTTGAAAACTAGTTCAATGCAGACTTCTGGCTTCTAATGTTAGCTGCTTAAATGGCAAGGCAAATAAAAGCTTTGATTGTTCAATTAAGAAAGCCTTTGGTGCCTAGATTGATAGAAGCTTGATTGAACAAATAGCCTTTTATTTTTTTAGCATTAAGTGTATTTGAGATGTACTGTAGCATCCGTTCTAGATCTGTTGTCCTGCAGCTCTGCTTTCAGAAGGTGTCGGGATCATCACCTCTTTCCACCAGCTGCTTCCACTGCAGATGGTTCTGGTTGGTGAAGGTGTATAGGATGCACCTCTCCTTTTCACAGTTCAGCTGGAACGGGGTGTGCAGATTTTCTTTGCTTTGCTAAAATGGTCGTGTTTACTTCCAGATTCAGCGATGGGGAACAGAGCTGTCGTTTCTACGTGCCGCCTTTCTGAGCACAAACACATCTTAAACACATTCTGATAATGTTGCTGATGTTACATACATCAGAAGGAATCCATCCGGGAATAATGTTCTTGTTACTGATTTGGGTGTGTTACTCTTTTTGCCAAAGCAATGCAAACACAGATCAGGTGGTACAGAGTTTGAAGTACCCTAATAAGTGTCTGTGGCAATTGTATTAGACTTTATGATTAAAAGCTGAAACATGTATGCTGATACTACCATTTAAAGTATTTTTCCAGAAACGCTTACTGTTAGTGGTCGAGTTGAATGTTACCTGCCTACTTGGTTTTTTAGGATGCCTTAGCATTAGTACTTCTTTAGCTTTTGCTCAGCTTCAGGTTATTTATCATCCCATTTGCCATTCTTGTGTTCACATTCTTGTGTTCGTTTGACCTTCCCGTCCGCTTCTTTGAAGAACTCTTCAATCCTGAGTGATGTTTCCTCACAGATTAGTTTCTACAGGCTGTGCAGGGAGTCAGGGTTCTTTCAAAGGTGGCTGCCCGTCCTTCTACTTCCTTTTCCTCTGCCCTCCCTCCCCACCGTGCACCTTCTGTCTGGCAGTGAGACGTATGTGTCTGAAATTATTCAGAGGTACTACCTGTGTAGTAAAACTGGTCACTGTATTTCTTTCTTAAATAATTCTAATTTCACATGCCTCTTTGATATTTTCATTTGGACATTCCTAAACACTTCTATTCAGAACTAATTATAGTAACTCCTTGGAACATACCAGGTATTACTGCAAAATACAAGTAAGGGGGAAAACTGCATCTAGTTTATGGTCTTATAAAGTAGATCTGGGATTGCAAACTGTGCAGATAAATCTGCACAGTAGACATGGAATCTGTTGAATTACACTGCTAGCTGGAAATGGTGCAACTCATAGCGGAGCTGGCTTTGCTATAGCGAATTTTAGCAGTGGTGTATCTTTTTAATGTGCTCTCAGTCCTCTTTGTCTTCCTGTCTTTTATAACTGCACCAGCATTTGCTACTGATCAGCCTCTTGAGGATATCGTTGGCACAAGCATCCAAGGGGTAGTTGGTACTCTGCAAAGGCATGAAATTTGCTGCTTTCTTGTTAACTGTTGGCTCCTTGTCTGGAGATTTTAGCTTAATGAAAGTATGCGTGAGGGAAAAGAAATAAAGGCAGGCTAACATGAAGCATTAGGAGATCTTCTAAAACTTTTTCTACATTGAGGTCTGAAACCAAACAAAGGAAATGGACACAGTGTAGACTTGTGAAGGTTAGGTCCTGGGGGAAATAATGTTAAAATATGTTAGACACAATTCAATTGGTAGGTCACATGGACACATGAACAAGTAATATTTTCATGCATGGCCTCAAGTATCTGTTATTCTGCTGCCTTTCTCTTGGGACTCATCCCTCCCTACTGCTTTAAAATAACCATTGCAAAAGGCTGGCTATTGCTGTGTCTGTTTATTATGTCTTCTGCTTTGCTGGCTTGTCATAGACAAATATCTCTGTAGCAGCATATTTGGAGAGCTCATCTAACAAGCCATCTTAATGTTCATCTGAGATAGGAAGGTGTATCTCAGAAAGTTACAATTGTATGGCTAAGATCACTAAGCAGTGTTGGATATAATGACGATAATCCTCTTTATGCCGTTTCCTAGATGTGGTGGCACCACAGGGAAGCACCAAGCTGCTAGCCATCAAGGCACCAGCTGAATTTCCTAAAATGTTGTCTTCTAGCTCTCCCTTAGCATCCACAAAGAAAGGTGAGAGTGCATCTAGTACTAACCTCAAGGATGCTTCAAAACCTTCTGCTGAAGACATGAGGATGTTCATGGCAAGAAAAACTGTGGTTTCATTTCCTCAGCGAGTAGTTCTTTCTTCTCTTGAGGAGGAGGACCTCACTACACCTGCAACAGAAGGAGGCTTGAGGAAAGAGTTAGTTGAGGAAGAAACTTCATCCAGTTCAGATTCAGATTCTAGCTCAGATTCTGAGGAAGAAAACGATGATTCAGAAGTTGCCATTAAAAGCAAAGCTGAGTTTCCAACACGAAAGTCCACCTTTTCTGAGAACACAGCTGTAAAGGCATCAATGCTAGCAAAAGAGAACTCATCCCAGAAATCTTACAAAGAATACATAGCTAAGAAGAAGCCAGGCAAAACAGACACTCCTATCAAGCAGGTTGCATTTTCTAAAACATCAGACAGCCATGAAACATCAAAACCCAAAGCAAGAGACCCCGAAGTAAAGTCAACTCCAAAAGCAGCATATCGACCTAAGGAGTTCTTGGAACCCCATATGGTTGAAGGTCAAGACCTGACCGTTGTCACTTGTAAATCTGATTACATGGAGGATAAGTCCATTGGAACCCAAGTAGCAGCTATTCAGCTGAAAGCTTCGTCAGGGACTCAGGAAGTCAAAAAGCAAAAACTGGTATCCAGGGGCAAAGAAAAAAAGGTGAAGCAGCAACAGGAGTCAGAAGCAGAAATAACTGCTCCTAAATTAGAAAAACAGACTTCTGAAAACACAGTGTTGGTGACGGATGCTACAGCAGAAGAGGAGGCCGTTCAGGAAACAGGAGTCCAGGCTGGAGAAAGCAGCACAACAGAGGGTACACCTTTAAATTGTTTGAACTGTATTGATTGATTCATCTGGTCTAGGGTTTAACTCTTTTTAAAGGATTTCCAAATCTCTGCTCATGATTCTCTGATCTTTATACTGAAGCTAACTTTGTAGCAGTGACTACATTCTTCTTCATTGCTAATTGTTGTAAGTGCTCAGTAATACTCAGTTTCCAGTTACATTGCGAAAGGCAGTGTTATAGTTTCATAAGTCAGTTACTGATTAAATGGAAACAACATTGTTTCCACTGTGAGCAAAATCAGGGTTTTTTATATGACAGAACTTGTTTTCCTTCCTCTCTTTTCTTGGAAGGATTTGGTAGCTGCCTTCTGAGCCACATTTGATGCCATCTGATTTTTGCTTAAATCCTGCTGTCTTTCTCTTTCTTTTAAAAAAAAAAAAAAAAAATCTTGTAGTGTTTCAGATTTCAGTAAACTTTGGGAAATCATAGTGTAATACCAGAAACAGGTATTGATTCTTAGATTGGTAGGTTGTGAGTTATGTTGAAGTAGTACAGAATTGACCTTATAACCCAGTTTTCAGAGTGAGCTGTGGAGGAGACAGTGGCACAGTGGTATATAATGCTCGATGCTCTTTCCTAAAACATAATCATCTTGCCAGGTTTACTTCCCTATCTAACCTACCCTTCTTGTTTACTGCCAGTCCTGTTAATGTATGTACTGATCTCATGCTTTATATTTCAATAGCAAATGCTCTTCCGCCCTGATCTGTGGTGGCTAACTATTCTTGCCCTTCAGCTCAAGCAGCATTCCATTTTCAGGAGCCCACTTCTGGTTGCTGCTTTGAAATCAAAGAATTTTTCTACTTAGAACTAAAAGCAGCATAATTATGAAGCTGTTTAGATATCCTTCAAGTGACATCCTTGCAGAAGAAGTCTTGGGGATCGAGGTCAACAAGTTGAACATGAGCGAGCAATGAGCCCTTGCAGCAAAGACCAGCCATGGTATCTGGACTGCATTAGGAGGAGTGTTGTGAGCAGGTTAAGGGCAGTGATCCTTCCCTGGTGAGATGCACCCAGAGTGCTGTGTTTAGTTCCAGGCTCCCCAGAGCAAGAGAGATGTGTAGACACTGGAGAGAGTCCAGGAAGGGGCCACTAAGGTGATAAAGGGACTGGAACATCTCTGCCGTGAGCAAAGGCTGAGAGAGCCAGGACCGCTCAGCCTGGAGATGAGAAGGCTCATAGGAGGGGATCTCATCATTGTAAGTAAATACCTGAAGGGAGGGTGCAAAAAAGACAGAGGTAAGACTCTTTTCAGTGGTACCTAGGAACAGGACGAGAGACTTGATCTCAAGGATTCCGCTGAACATTGAGAAACACCTCTTTTTCTTTTTTCTTTTTCTTTTTTCTTTTTCTTTTTTTTTTTTTTTTTTTTACCGTGGGAGTGATGGAGCAGTGGCACAGGTTGCCTCAAGAGGTCATGGAGTCCCTGTCCTTGGTGACATTCAGAAGCTGTCTGGACATGGTCCTGGGTAGTCTGCTTTAGCTGACTCTCTTGAGCATCTAGGGTAGGACCAGATCACCTCCAAAGATGTCTTCTAACCTTAACCATTCTGTGACTACCTGAAGTCACTAGCCACTTTCGGTAACAAATAATTGCTTTTGTACATTAGTTTCCAGGACAGTGTGCTGAGTAAAAGACGTGCTTTCTCTTTTAAGGTGTTAGTTGGCTGATAATTTAATCTCTTTTGAGAGTTGGAAGGTAAGCTTAACTTCTTCCCTGACTGCAGTTCAAATGGTAAAGTGCAGCACTGTTTGCAACTGCTACTTTAATTTGTTTGTCTTTACAATCAGCAACAGATGTTTCTTAAAAAAAAATTGGAAAGACTATTTATATTTATTTACAGATGATGCTTTTCTACCCATTCATCCACAATGGATTGCTAGATGCTGAAGCAATTATTTGGGTTTTTTTTTTTACACATGGAAGCTGATATGAAGACCCCAAAAATGAGTTCCATTTACTTCAAGTATGAGAGGGGGGACTTGGTCTTAAAATGTGCTAATGATTCAGGGAGACACACTGTCTTCATTCTGAAGCCTTCTTTGAGAAGAGCTACTGCTTTTCCCTGTTTAATGTTCACAGTTAATGATACTTTTTGTAATCTGTATTTCTGTTCCCATGTTCTTTTATTCATCTGCAAACTCTGCAGCAGGCACGCTGAAGATGTAAAAGCAATTTTTCACATTACAAACTTGGATGTTAAGGTGATGTCACCCACTTTGCAGAGCAGGCATGCTAAGCAGTCAGCAAAAACTGCTGACTTTAACTGCTAAGTAAGTAGCAAAATAGTAGCCTGGTAACTCAGAAATATAGCTCTGATTCATTTTGGAAGAACATCCTGTGAAATGCTTGCTCTTTAAGAGAGAGTATAGATGAAGTCTGAAGCATGGGGAGGATGAGCTTGGGGATAAATTTTTCCTTCGAGAAGCCAAGTACAGTGTATTTGGGCAGGAAAGATGAGACTCCATCTGCTTTTCTTCCGGAGCATCTGTCTCTTAATTTGGAATGACTGTCTCTTGCAGGTTGAATGTACACTTGCCTATCCTTGCCTGTTCTTGGAGCTATTTGCAGCAAAGACTGCATCATCTGGCTCTTCTATCTGCAGTTGCCTCCCATGAGCTGTCTCAGTAGGAACTGAGCAGTAGGCACAGGGATATTTCCTTTCCTAGGCTCTGTGTATTGTTTTGCTGAAACCATGGCTTAATGCATTGTGTTTTATAAGCAAGGCTTGCTAAAAGTTATCAACATGTGCTCTTAAAGTGGTAGCATTACATTGCAATAATTATGTCATAATTAAAGGGAAATTCTGGTGTTTAGTTGCTTGAGTTCTTGTATTTTCATTGTAGATAGTTGTATTACAAAAAGAAGCTTAATATGATCTAACCTAAACCTCTACATACAAATGTATGAGACAAAGCTTTTCACTAGGTGATGCTTATGTATTTCCTATTGTTACAACTCTGGGTATATGAAAATAAATTAATATTGAGAGTAAAGTTTTATTTCTTGCAGTTTCCTTGGTTGTAAAATCAGCCTGTAACATGAACCTTTTATGTAAATGGTACTGCCTACATTTGCATAATATTCTAAAAGTGTAAGAATTCATGTTGTCTTTAATGTGAAGTAAGAAGTTCTGAATAATTTTATTAGGTTATTATTTTAGGAGAAAGGTGATAAAGAGTCTAGTAGATTACATTTAGAAGAAAGGAATTTTACATCAAAGGTTCTTGATAACTGTTCAGTATAACAACATTTGAAATTAAAATGTGGAGATCTCAGTAATTCCCTTTCTTCTCCCCATGGAAAAAAAATCAATTTGTAAAGTAGTTTTAATAGCTATATCTCATGGTCTGACATGATGATCTATCATTTGTACTGCTTCTTTGCCTCTCCTGGCTTATGAAGAATGTCACCTACTGTTCTGGCTGGAGTGAAAACCAAGGCAACAATGAAAAACCCAGGAAATGCAGACACATGTCTGCAAAACATAAATGGAATGTTCTGCTCTATCTGCCCCCAGCATTAGGTGGTAGTAGTTTGGATTTTAAAACCTGTGTTGTATTAAATGACTTGTACTGATTCCTGTTCCCCTACTTCATACTAATGTGCTGCTTTAGGACCAGACAAGGTACCTGCAGAACTTGGGAAGCTTACCCTTTTGTTATAGTTGCTGATTTCTTTTTTTTTTTTTTTTTTTTTTTTTTTTTTTATCTACTGTTGGTGGGTGAGGGATCTGACAGTACCTGAAGGCTGGCTCAGTAATTAAGAATATTGCCCTCTAGTGTGGCATCCTTGTAGTCACCAGTTACTGTTTGTTTTCACAGAGACCACAGCAGCTGCTAAACCTGCTCCAGAAGAATTCGATAATTCTACCTACAAGAACCTTCAGCATCACGAATATAACATTTACACCTTTGTTGATTCTGTTGTGGTTCTCTCAAAGTTCAGGCAGCCTCAGCCGTCTTCTGGAAGACCATCACCAAGGCACTGAAAGAACCACATTTAAAACAAATGCCCAGGCAGAATGACAAATAGTTCCATTTAGCACTGTTGCTTTACCTGTATTATAAATCAGATAATTAATAAAAAATGCATAATAATGTACACTTGTGCTTTTGAATGGCTATGCTTGGTTCTTGGAGTCCCTCGCTTCTTCTATGCATGAGCTACAAATCAATCATCATGGAATAAAAATAGCTTTTCTACCTCTCATTATATATTATTTGGTGATAGTGTAAAATATAGTCCTGACTTTTCAGTGTCTCCAAACTTTTGAAGCTTCTTTTGTCAAAGAAAGTCATGGCCCTCGTGCCTGTGACCGTTCAGTGTGTGCCATGATTTTAGCAGGTATTGTTATCACAATACCTGCAGCGGGCTGTTCTTGCACACAAACATGTTCCCAGCTCTGGAGAGGTTATGTTTTCTCTGGATTTGAATTTAAAATCATTGGCTGGGAATAGCAGAAGAAGTATTTGTCTCCTGTGGCAAGAGTGTATGTTTTATGTTAGTAGAGGAATGTAAGTTTATGTAATGTGACTTACACATCTCAAGACCTCTGCTGTTGTAAAGGGAGAACATACAAATTTATTTAGTCCTCTGTTGAGGGATCTAGCATCCAGGTTCTGCAGTAATTGAAGTAATTTAAAATGCAAGAGAATCTCAGTGGGCAGTTCTTTATGGACTATACCACATTGACTAAACTCTGAGAAATAACATATTTCTATAGGTAGAATCACTTGAATGTTACTTTTCAACGTGATGAAAATAGCATTATGGTAAAACCAGCTCCTGGTACTAATTGTTCAGTGAGACTATGTTTCAGTCCCCACTTTTGTTTTTCCACAATAAAAGTTAAGATTGCTGTCTAGCTTCACTCTTGCTCGTCAGAATATGTGAGAAATGAGGCACTTCTCAGTGTATGTTATCAGCAGTTGCAGTTGGTCTCAGTAAATTTTGTATTTCCATCCCATTAGTAACAGTCTGCTGCCCTCTGGGAAAACTGCCTTGATGACCACCAGCTGTTGTGGGTTTAATTCCATTTTGGCTTCTTGTTCATTTTGGGGTTTTTGGAGTTAATTGGTCTTTGAGCAATAGCTCTAGCATTTTCCATCACCTGTCTGTATTCTTTCAAGCAACAGAATACACAAGATCAAAGGGAAAACAGAGTCAGCTTTAGGAGTCTATATGGATATTGGACGCAAATCCCTGGGTGCAATTAGTAGAACAGATATTTTATACTCTAACTTGGCAAAAATGTGGTAAGAAGGATCAAGAGGCCTACATCAATCTGCTGTGTAGCATTTTAAGTCAAAAACCTCTGGCAAGCAATTTTATTGTCCTGTAAAAACTAAAAAGCATATTACTGACTCTTAACTATGAAATTTAAAAATCAGGCAATGTATAAATCCACATGCTTGGGAATAAAGAACAGAAAGTCACCTTGAGACACCTGTGGTACCACATACACAGTACTTGTAAAAGGGAAAGAAATTTGCTATTAACTTTAAAAACATGAAAGAATAAAGAAAAAGTCTTCCTTTACTCAGGGCCCACCGGAGGACCCCAGTGAAGCTGCTGTGTTTTGGTATTAACACTCTGTGTAGGCACCTGAACCCTGTGGCCTGGATCTGTGTTGGTGCTCGACTGTGTTCCCAACTGTTTGTTTTGGGAAGGAGGCTGCAAATTGTCAAATAAAATCTAAACAGGAAAAGTTAAATGCAGTCCATTAATAAGCTTATGCATTTACTAAATCTACCCACAGTAGCTGTGACTTAGCTGTTTGGAGTCAGACTTGTTCTTCTAGTGCCCTTTTTATTTCTAAGGAGGGTTGATGTTATAAATACTAACTTAATCAGCTAAGGAGGAGTGGGCTGCAACAGAAGAGTGTCTTGCTTTTAGTCAGTTCCTACCCTCTCCTTAGCTGCATTTCTAGCTAAGGAGATTCTAATCTCTATTTAGGCTACCCCTTACTTTCCTACCCTTATTTGATGATTACAGCAAAAATAAATGGTGAATGCCCTTCCTATCTGTGTCACCCTGTCTTGGTGTTTTCTAGTGATGTTTTCTTCACCTCTGAAATCAAGCTGGAAGCCAAATAACTTCATAGCTCTTCTGGTATGTATGGTGCTATTCTTTTCTTATGTTAAGTGAACCAGTCCGCTCTGGGAAGGGCAGATAATGTGAGGAAGGCCATGAAAACTTTTTCCCACTGTGGTGTTTTCCTGGACTTCAGTGAAAAAGGCTTCCATTTTTTGTGCTTGGCTATTATCAGATGTTACTCAGTTTGAGTCATGTGCTAGCATTTAAATTTCCAGCAGGATGTTGTACAATACGCTCAAATTGTGTAACATTAGTAATTTTGTCTTGCTGTGCCAGGCACTTGGAAGATACAGTCAAGGATCTTTTTTAAAGAATGTATACTCTGGAATATTAACATAATTCCTGGAAAACCTCAAATGTGAAAGAAAGGAAGTCTCAGCTTAGTTTTTGTGAAAACCAGCTCTTAAGAAACGGCATAAACTTCAAAAGTGGGGTTTTCAGTGTATATAGTATGTTACTGTGCATGGAAGTACATGAAAATCTGGAAAGTGGAATTCACTAACCTCTCATTTAAAAGATGAAGCAACTACTTTCCTTGTTAAAGGTTTTCAAACTTTAGGTCCTTTGATGGTTTTGGTGTTTTTATTTTTTAGCCTCGCAAACTACTAATAAAATTGCTTTTCACAATTTTCTTCCACTTAGATCCCTCAAAAGTAACTTATGAGCCCAGAAGGTTCTGGAGAGCAATCAAAAACTCATTAATCCAAGGTCCAGAATTAGTGATCCAAAGCAGAGCTTGTGGTGTCCACTTTAGTTATTACACGGTCAAGATTTTTTTAGTCCTTCTGGTGCTTCCTTTGGCATCCAGTCATGATAAGCACTGTAATCTATAAGGCTATCTTCAAGATTTATTTTAAATTTGGAAATGACACTTTTAACTGGTGCACTTGCAGATATCCCACAGTATGTCCCTAACTTTCAATAATTGGAATACATTTCACGCATCTCACTCTGGTTTCCTGTAAACTCATCAGCCATAGAACACTGCCCTTAGTCTTTTCTCCCACCACACGAGGTGTCATCATCTAAGCTAGTTGTACAATTATGCTGAGTCTGTTGTTAATGTGATGAAAAATGGTGAGAAGTTTTAAGGCTATCTTGGGACAACATGCAGTTCTTCCTTCAGCTACTCATGGTAATGAGAATGTGAGCTGAGAACAGTCACCAGGCTGTCCCAGTCTGCTGAAGATCTGTAGGAGACCAGGACTTCGCAGCTTTATGCTGATCAGAATCCCACAGCTCCTAAAGTGTTTTGGTGAGATTTTGTCATCTTCTGGCATTTGGGAGGAAGAGTAGGAGAAGCCGTTTGTCTGTTCCAAACAGTTTTAATTCCTGGTGGGCCCAATGACTATCGTGCAATGAGTGAGTGAGTATAATACACCGGAAGGGGACTTACATTAATTTTGATAATTTTTAGTGTGGAATCTTCTGTAGTGCCTGGGGAAGGACCTGGGAGACTCGTGTTCCTCAAGGTGCTATGCAGTAACAGTAGTGCAGGCCAGGTTCAGGTCCCCACTGTGTCCTGCTGTAAAAACAGCAACAAAAAAGTCTTGGAATCATTCCTGTCCGAAGTATTTGCTATCTGCCTGTGATTTACACCCCTCCTAGGCTGCTCTGTATTGTACGTTATTGTTGGCATACAGTTAGGCAAAAGGAGCTAACACAATATGGGTAATACAGGCACTTTAGTACAGGTCCTTTGAACATTTGAGTGACTGACTTTACAACCTTGGTGTTCTTGTATTGTTGCTTTGTTTATTTGTTTTGATTTTATCCTTTGAGAGAAACTTCTCTAAGCTCTGGTTTATTTTAATGAAACTCTTTGGTCTCTAAATAAAAGATCACATCAAGTTTCCAGATCATCCTCCTCCTCTCATGTGGTTCTGTTTTATAGAATTATAAATACTTATTTATCTTTTCTATGATTCTATGGGTTTGGTGCTTACATACTAGCCTTAGTGTTGCTCTCTGGATGATCCCACTCCACATAAAATCTGCACATATTTCTGAGCTCACATCTTTTTTTTTCTTTTTTTTTTCCTACACACATTCAATTATATTTCAAAATTCATAACCACCTCTGAAAGTCTTAGGATATGTGGTAGCTTTGGGACAGAAAAGACTGTAAAAGCATAGTTGGTAACATAAGTTTAAGCATGTGTGGTTATGATAGTAAAGTATCCCATGAACTTTGGGTCAGTGCATGGAGTTAGCGGGTCTGCTCGCAAAATTTATTTTGGTATCCCTTGCACTCTGAGCAAACTTTTAACTGCAAAATAGATGAACAGGAGCATGATTCTGTAAATCTGCAGAATAACAGAATACAGCCTATGTGCATGTTAACTTCTAATACAGAGCCCATGCCGTGTGTTTCAGTTAAAATTAATGCCTAAAATTCTTAGAAGCAGTCGTCTTCGTTTCTCCACTCTGACATGTGGTTCAAATGGCAGTACCCATTTCCAAATCTGAGTGCCTTCTATGAGATGGTCACAACATTA